TCTGCAGACCTCCATGGATTCACCTACATATAGAGTTACAGAGACCATGAACCTTCGACCGCACAGCTCTCACGTTCGGCTATCATCGCTTCATCGACACCGCCGAGAAATCATGATGGCGAGCGAGCTGTTGCCGGCGGTGCTGCTGATCTCCGTGGCGTCATTGGCCGGACTGGCCGCCGGAGCTGCGCGCGCAGGCGGCGTCGCGATCTACTGGGGCCAGAACGGCAACGAAGGCACGCTGGCGCAGACGTGCGCGAGCGGGAACTACAGGTTCGTCAACGTGGCCTTCCTGTACACCTTCGGCAAGGGCCAGACGCCGCTGCTGAACCTGGCGGGGCACTGCGACCCGGCGTCCAACGGCTGCACCGGCGTGGGCGCCGACGTCAGGTCCTGCCAGCGCCTCGGCGTCAAGGTCATGCTCTCCATCGGCGGCGGCGTCGGCAGCTACGGCCTCTCGTCCCGCGCGGACGCCAGGCTGGTCGCGAGGCACCTCTGGGAGAACTACCTCGGCGGCACGTCCGCGACGAGGCCCCTCGGCGACGCGGTGCTCGACGGCGTCGACTTCGACATCGAGAGCGGCGGGAGCGCGCACTGGGACGAGCTGGCGCGGGAGCTCAAGAAGTATTCGGGGAAGGGGCGCGAGCACAGGAAAGTGTACCTGGCGGCGGCGCCGCAGTGCCCGTTCCCGGACGCGTCGCTCGGCGGGCTCGGCGGCGCGCTCGGCACGGGCCTGTTCGACTACGTGTGGGTGCAGTTCTACAACAACCCGCCGTGCCAGTACACCACGGACGGCGGGGTGGGCAACCTGGCGCGCGCGTGGGAGCAGTGGACGGCCACACCGGCGAGGCAGGTGTTCCTGGGGCTCCCGGCGGCGCCCGAGGCCGCCGGCAGCGGGTTCGTGGAGGCGGCAGACCTGGTGTCCAAGGTGCTGCCGGTGGTGAAGAAGTCGAAGAAGTACGGTGGGATCATGCTGTGGTCGAGGTTCTACGACGGGAAGACCGGGTACAGCGACAAGGTCAAGCCCAGCCTGTGAGCTGGTATTAATTAACTGCTAAGCTCGGGTCAGGGATCAAGAGCACGTGGCATTAACATGTCCTCTATCACGTGTCAAGCCTGATACTGAGCAAAGACAAATAACCGGACAGAAATGTACTGTATGGTCGTATTCACCACTAGGAACCACTTTCCTCTATCACAGTGCATGGTCGTTTTGTTCTAAGTGAAACTTTGTAAAATTTGATCAGGTTTATGAAAATCGACATAAAACACTATATATGTTATCAAGCTTGCGGAAGATGGGGCTCGTGGGCGGATAGATCCGGTCCGGCTACATTGTGGTGATGGGGGAGCAACGGCGAGTCGTGTCGTTGCCGGCGAGCTCGAGGCAACAAGATCGCCCTTCAAATTTCTGGTTGTAGTTTTGTTTAGATATTTCGATGTTTTTGTTTCTTCTGAAACACTTCGATTTCTTTATGTTGCATAGGTTGTTTTCACAACCTTCATCCTCGTGTATGTTCCGCTACAATACACATGGGCGTCATGTTGCAATTATTCTGGTTCATTGCAATGTTGTGTCCACACAATATAGTTTTTAGTGTTGTCGACCTGTGATTGATGTGGGTCCTATGTTCCTTATAATGCAATGGCTTTTCTTATTGGTTTGCTGCGATCAACCAGGATTTATTGCATATAGAAAAATGGTTTCAGAGGTATGCTTGGCATGTTCCAACATTTCTGCATGTTTATGAAATACTGAGAAAACATATTATGTTGATGTTCCATAAGTAGAAGAAACTTGCTGCATTATGGATAGACGGGGCGTACCCTCCATTCGAACGTCTATTGTCTAGTCTTCTTTGGGCGCGAACGTCGTTAGCTAGAGTAGATAATTGATAGATGCATGGTATAATTCCTTCACACGAACCGTTTTAAAAGGCTCAACTTTAGGAAAATATCATATTTATTTTTTATTTCAGAGAAGGTTAAATGCCATATATTAAGTAGCACACACCTTAAATACACACTTACGGGAATTGAAAAATATATCTAAATACTTTGGGGTGCCGACGTCTTCATCCACCTGCAACGCGTGGTGAAACAAACATGTCGTCGCCTCTGGACCTCCATCTCAGCGGAGCAAATTTGCTGAAACCATGAGTTTTGTAGAAGCAATGGCCATGAATTCATCGTCGTACACCAGAAAACGTCAACAACCATGATCTACATAGTATTATCATCGTCCGGAGAAAACAAGCGATGAATTGGAGCTATAGAACCCGCGTGGACCAGCCAGACAGAGTCGGAGAAAGAAGTCTCCCACGCTCCTTGACTAGGCTGGCCAATCCGCATCGGTCGAAACTGGAATGGAAGAAGCACCACCAAAACAAGGGCGAGACTAAGAGAATTTATTCCACGCCGACACCAACATCATTGTCTCAACACCGCCGACCAAAGATAAAATATAAATTTATTTTTAACACTACCACCACGGGACTAAAGCCCCCGGGGTCCCCGCCAATGAGCGACAGACAAAGTGATAGGTGGTCTGATGTCTCACCGATGAGGCGTGTAGATCAGCCACTGCTGCTCTTGCCGCCTTGGGCATGGGAGAGGAAGAAGAAATCAATTCACAATTAAAACATCTTATACTTATGCTAATTAAGTCGACCTTTAAAAAACGACCCATAGATATGAATCTTTGGATGAGGATCCTCTGACATATGGCATTGCCGTTCTGCGACTGACATGTGAGCCCACATGTCAGTGGCCCAACGATACATATTGCACGGTAGAGGAGCCGCTTCCTGAATATTTACCCTCTAGAAAATGTCCCCTTTCCTCTTTAATTCGATACTAAGTGAGAAATGACTTGACCAAAAGCCACCTGTTTTCACCGCGTAAGTTATTGTGGGCTTTCTGACTAAGATCTGGCATGATCCTGCAGGTGGTAAAGGACGTCGCAGCAACGATGTGTGCACTACTACCAGTGCAAACATCTACGGTCAACCAAATATAGTAGAAGACATCGGTCTACTTCGGTGAACTTCAACCTCCAAGATGACCTATAGTGCAAACATCTACGGTCTACCAGTGCAAACATCTACCGAACAACATCAACGAC